AAATAAAAATAAAAGACCGCCACGGCTTGTCTGCTGAGCCTCCCCATCATCCAGTTCTTGGCCAAGGGAGCTGGCAGGTTACGGAACGTTCAAAACAGTCCACAAGCCCACTGATGAAGAGAAAGTGACCAGGAGCAGAATATCACTTGTCACTTTCCATCGGGGGGGAGACCCTATGGCCAGGGGGACCCCATGGCCACATCCAGGCTGTGCAGGATCTGGAGGGGGGGCAGGAGCAGGGCCACTGTATATACAGAGGTGCAGTGGGGCCAGAGATTTGAGATTTGAAGTCCAGTTCTGGAGAGGAGGCTGCTGGCCCTTGTGATCAATCTTTTGGTGGGGGGTCACCCTGGGAGGGGGGGAATGAGGTCTCTGATGGGGGATGGTGGGAAAGAGATCCACTGGATCCCGCTGATGAAAGATGAAAAGAAACGGCTTCGTAGAGGAAGAGAGGAAAGGGCAGGAGTTTCTGTAGTAGCTGAACCCCTCGGTCTTCAGACCTGACCCCAAACAGGCCAACGGGATGGTCTTGATATCTTTTTCGCTGCCCAGCCGGCAGACAAAGTTCACCCCTCTTAGAAGAAGGGGAGCCAGAGGGGCTGCTCCCACAGAGCACGAGGAAGGCCCCCAGACCGGTGGACCCACGGAAGCCCTCCGTGGTCTCTGAAATCCCTCCCTCGTTGCATCAGTTCCATGGCTCGGTCGGTCCCTCTTTTATTTCACTTGCCTGCCCCCCCCTATGTTGTTCTTCGAACACATGGACCCAGGATGTGAAGGATACTTAGCCAAATTCTTCTTTTCTTTCTTGTTTTGTTTTTTTAAACAGTTTTGATTGTCTGGAGCTGGCCAGACGGGTCAGGTCTTGACAGTCTGGCCAGGTGCCCGATGATCCCTCACCTCCTCCCGAGAGCGAGACAAAGGGGCTTTTTGTTCCCCCCCCCATTTCCGGTCTCTGTGTTTTTGCTCCGAAACCCCTCGGAAAGGCAAAGCCTGAGCGCAGGCCAAGCACAGACGGGATGTTTGGAAGAAACAGACAAACACCCTCCTTTGGACTTTTGCCACGGAGCCGTCTTCCCGGTTTTGTGCGCCAATCGCTGGCTTTTTGGGGTGGGGACAAAATTCACACACTTGCAAGAAGGGTTGGAGAGAACAGAAACCAACCCCCCCCCCTCCCAGGCCAGACCCTGAATTATGTCTTGGTCCGAAAGGAGAAAGCAAGGCGGGGGGTCCCGTCCCTCGCAAGGACCCAAAGCAGCTGCTATGGATTGTCTTTCTATGCCATCAAATTGCTTCCAACGTGGATGGCAACTCTAGAAGTGGTTTCGAGGAGTTTCCCCAGCTGGGCAAGGATTCGAACCCAGGTCTCCCATGTCCTTCATCGACCCTCAGCCCTCACGGTACCCCACGGTTTCTCAGCTGCTCTGTAAAGGCCACAGATTAGCAAAGGATCCAAAATAATTCCATGAGGACTTGTGGATTACAGTTTATTTTTTAAAAGGCACACAAATCTGTGCTTTGAGTGCCAACATTTTCCTGAGTGGTCTGTTGTTTGGTGCAGAACGGAGCTTTCTGAGAGGGAATCACACAATTTATTTTAAAAATTCACGAATTTCATCTATTCGTATTCATACATATCAATGCCCCCCCCCCAACTATGGTACAACTATGCCCTGCTTTTAAACAAGCCCTTTCTGAGGTGCATAAAAATTCGTCGGACAGATTCTTGGTGAACAATTCTGAGACGGTACACTCCCCCCCCATTGCTTGTTTTGGGCCCACCTTTTGGTCTCCTTGAGGTATGCATGGGTGGTGGGGTACCCAGTGTGGTGACGCGGACAGAATAACAGACTAAGACTCAGGAGAGGTGAGTTCAAATCCCCGTATGGCCGTAGAAACTCACTTGGGGAAGAAGGAGCTGGTGAAATCACTATTTTAGTTACCACGCCTTCCTTGATAGCCTTGTTAGGGTCACTATAAGTTGGTTCTGACTTGATGACACACAACAACAACATGGGAGAGGGTGCAAATAAGGTCTGTATGCACCAGATCTTACACCCCCCGGGGACGCCCCCACTTTTTGTTATGAGCTCTCATCATCCCTGTGTAACTAAATTTCCACTCTGGCGAAATCCCCCTTGTGTTGCACATACTTGTGTCCCACGTGTCTTACACATGTAGGTGCCGAACTATCCAAAGTTTGGTGGTGGCACGCACACGCGTCCTTTCCTTCCCCTTCCGCCTCTCCCCCTCGCCTCTTCTCCCGACCACAGAGGCGGCTGAGTCACGGCTATTCAGGCAAGTGCACCCAGATCCCTTTGAGATTAAGCCTTTTGTTTAAGCCTTCTGCTGAACAGTTGTTGTTTCTTGAGAAATCGCTCCTTTGACTTGGCTCACGCCCTCTGCGTAGCAGCTCTTCCAGGAACGGAGCTTACGGGAAGCAGGCAGGGGCTCTTAGCTACGGGTGTGAGGTTGAAATGAAGAGCGAGGCGCTGTGGTGGCGTTGTGTGGTGGGGAGGCCTGTCGTGCAACAGTAGGACAACCTGCTTTACCGTCCTGGAGGTACCATCGTCCGCATGGGCGGTGGAGCAAGCTTGGATGGTGGAACTCCAAGTCATGGATTCAAATTAGAGATGGGCACAACTCGGAAAAATTGGAATTCATTTTGATTCGTGATTCGTCAAGGTTGATGAAACACGAATTACGAATTTATTAGTTTTTCCTTGCGAATCAATGAATCCACTTGTTAATTCATTTTTATACTTTAGAACCCTATCAAACAGCCCCACAAGTACCGAGAGAGACTACGTTAACAGGGGAACATCCTCCCACTCTCCTCTACAAGCCCTACAAGTGTGGGGACGATTAGGTTTTAGACATCCAAGTTATATTCCCACAAAGTGGGTCCCCCCCAGGAAAGTGCCCGTGAGCAGCTGGGGAAACCCAATCATCACCAAACTTGGGGGGATTGTAGAGGGGAGTTAGAAGTGGTGTCCGTACAATTTTGGTCTCTCTAGGTGGCTGGGGAGCCATTTGATAGCCGAACGAATCAATGAACCAAAAATCACTAAAAATTGTTGGTTCATATTTGTTGGGGGCATTAGATTCGTATGAATATGAATAGACGAATTCGTGATCTTTTTGGAATGAATTTGGTGATTCACTTTTTAATTCATGCCCATCTCTAATTCAAATCACAAGAAGCAGAAATTCCAGCTAAACCTCAAGAAGACTTTCCTGATGGTAAAAAGTGTTCGACAACGGAAGAGACTACCTTGTCAAGAGGCTGGGTCTCCTTGCTTGCTTGTTTTCAGGCAGAGCTGGGGCAACTGTCTGTCAGGGATGTTTGAGGTATGGACTCCTGCCTTGTCTGGGGTTGGACTAGATGACCCTTGGGTCCCTCCTAATTCTACAGCTCACTAATTCTATGATTCTCTGTATAACGTGCCTGCACCACTCCAGAGACAACCTGCTAGAGGGCTTTGGGGAAACCAGGTTCGTCTCTGGGGTTTCAAATCCACAGCTCTGAAGTAACTAATTCCAAACAACTAGTAATTTGTTCCTTTTGCTGAGAATGAAGGGAATAACTAAGTTAAATTTGGATCGTGACTTAGCAAGGGACAAGATCACACCTTGTGCAGTGTGCCACTAACATACCAAAGCACTTTTGCCCGGGGGGGGGATGGGCAGCCTCATTCTGCATCGGAGGAGAACTCTTGACATGCTCAGACATCTGGCCCTTCCATATGACTGCTCTGCTGGGTTTTTTTTGCAGTGGTGACAGCATGGGTGGGAAGAGAGCTTGCTTCCCATGCCAGAGCAGTGTAGTTTGTGTTTAAGAAACTCAAGAGAATTGTTTTAGTTACTTTTGAGAAATGGCAACTTAACAAACTCCTTTCTGCAGCCATTGCTCACCCACTTTGGAAACTATGAGGATATTAAAAAACAACACACACACACACAATTTTCCCAGTGCTTATTTGGGAGGAAAGAAGCCACAGAGAGAAGTTAGTTGGGGGCGTCACCAAACCAGAACAAGCTGCATCTGTCCGTTCCAGTTGTTTGCACAATCCCCACCGATGGTCAGATGTGAGCTTGGGTCTGGCTTTGGAGCGGAGCTGTGACGCAGGCCAGAGTGGGCAGCGGGTGCGAAGGTCTGCTTAGGCATTACCTCACGGCTCCAGCAGTCCCCAAAAACATGGATTCAAAGGACGCTTCTGAGTCTTCAGCAAGACACCTTTGCTCCACCTCCCTCCTGTCTGACAGCTATAACATGTGACCGGTCACCTCTTGGCCTACCTCACAGGGTTGGTGGAATACATGGGGGGGGGAACCCTCTGTAAACCCAAACCTTTATCCTCACAACTGTAACATTTCGGCTGTAATTGCAGGGTGGCCCACCGGTGGCATTGCGGATCTTGCCGTACCACAGTGCCCATTATCGCTCACCACGGGCTAAGCTGGCTAAGGATGATGGGAGCTGTAGTGCGAAATGGGAAGAGAGCCAGTCAGTGAGGGAATAAGCGATTCCGGTTTTGCAACCATGACGTCTGGGGTCGGAGGGGTGGGGTGGGGGTTCCTGTTGAAATCTCCCTGGGGCTGTCAAAAGCGAGGTGCTTTTACATCTCCACACAGTCCTTTCTCCTCTGTACTATTTTTTGTTCCTCCTCTCTGCTTCATGCAGTTTGATGAATGCTGTGGTGCTCATAGTTTTTCTGTGGTTTGGTTGTCTCTGGTTTTATTGAATTATTGGATTGTGTGTTTTATTGTGAACCAGCCATGGACTTCAACAGAGGAGAAACCTTGGCCTCTGAGCGTCCAGCCTGGAGGCAGGTGGTGCATCACGGCCTCTCCCAATTTGAAGAGACCCTTGTCCAGCAGGCCAAGGCAAAGAGGCAGTCCTGAAACCAGCAAAATCAGGGAGCTGGACAGGGGACAGATTGTGTTTGTCTTCCGTGTGGAAGGGATGGTCACTCTCAAATTGGCCTTCTCAGCCACACTAGATGCCGTTCCAAGTCCTCTATTCACAACACGTTACCATCGTCTCTCGAAACTGAAGGATGCCTAATCCTAAATCAGAACACCACTGCAGCGCTAATGGGTGTGGTATATTAAACTGAAATCAATCAATCAATCAATCACTCCTTAGGCAAAATCAGGACAGCTGCTATCTCTCTCTTTCTCTCTCTCTCTGCTTCCTCTACCCCACAGGGTCGTTGTTAAAAGAGGATTGAGTAGGAATGAAAACAGGAAGGGTGTTTGAAGGATTGCCCCCTCCCCAGGGCTGGGAGCGTCGTAGTGATATGCTAGCCCAATTCAGCCCCACGACGTGCATCCGTACAACACAGTGTGTCTATTGATGTACAAAAAAGAGCAAAAAATAAATTTAGTGTTCCCATTCTCGTCTCAGAGCGCGGGGAGGTGCCAACCAAAAACCAAGGATGATATTATGACTTCAATGGAAGCCAGGGGGAAGATAGATACAAGGGGTGTCACCTCCAACCTTCGTAGGGTTTTCAAGGGGTATGAGATACTTAAAGAGTGGGCTCCATCTTGAATACCCCAACCCTTGCTGATTTTCTATGGCCAAGCGGGGATTCAAAGTTGAGTCTACTTAGTCCTACTCTGGTCTACTCCTGGTCTACTTCACGCTGGCTCTGATGGATCATCTGACTGGTACGATTAAAATGCAACCTGTAAATTCTTTAAAAGTGATGAACGAAGGGGGGAAAAGCAGGACCATCGTGGGCGCGTCCACACACATACTCCCACTATGGGTCAAACCTTAGCCCTTCTGATGGTCTTTTCTCTTGCAGGGGTCCCGGGTGCTGGCGTGGGAGTTCCTGGAAGAGGCTTCTACCCAGGTAAGGGTCCACACCGCCAAGGTCCACGTAGACGCCACACTCTCCAAACTGAGCCCACAGTTTTGATACGAATTTGGGACAGTTATGAAATCATTGGAAATTCTGGATCCCACCCGGGGTTGCTTTTCCCTGACCGCTTGCCACACGAGATGACTCTGGCATGTTTTCTGCAGCCCCCCCCCCAATGAATGACCGGTTGGGTCTATTTGACCTTCCTTGGGTGGGCTGAGCTGCCCGGAAAGACCGTGACATTGTTGAAAGGATCTCTCACCCAAATATCCTGGGGTCGGCAAAATTGGCCACCCCCATTACGAGAATTGTGCCTGAACCATGAATGACCGGTTGGATCTATTTGACCATCCTTGGGTGGGCTGAGCCATGATATTATTGAAAGGACCGTGACATTATTGAAAGGATCTCTCACCCAAATATCCCGGGTTCGGCAAAATTGGCCACCCCCTTCGCCAGCTACTGTGAGAATTGTGCCTGAACTTGGAAAGGGACAAGGAAGCTCAGGGTGGTGGTGAGTTTTAATGTCATCATCCCCGGCCATCAAGAAGCCTCAGCATTTTGACCCAGAGGACCTGCGTTCCGCTACACTAACCTGTAGGATGTACACGAAGAGGGCCGAATAGTAGAGGCTGTCAGTTCTTAGATTACTTGGGCAGGGTGGATCCGCTCTGGGTTTTAATCCAAACTTTACAGAAGCCTTCCAAGAGGCTGCTCCCTGAAAGCTCTTAATTCCGCTCTGGGTTTTAATCCAAACTTTACATAAGCCTTTCAAGAGGTTGATCCCTGAACGCTCTTAACGTTTGGGTCAAGACCTAGGAAGAAGTGACTGCCTCTTGCTCTCCACTGGGTCAAAACCTCCTTCATTGTGTGTGACTGTATGTGGGGAGGTGAGCCATCATTAGAGGGGAGCTTGTTAACGTTATCCGAGAGTCTCTCTGAAACTGTGGTGGGAGGATCTGTTACCCTCCTTCCTACACATCCTGATAACGTGACCCTCTCCTCAGGGGCTGGTGGTGTCGGAGGACTGGGGGGCCTTGGAGCGGGCCTCGGGGGTACAGGTAGGTAGGCGCAACCCAGGAGTGGTTGGGGGGGTCTCCTGGCATGCATGCTTCGGTTTGCATGGTCTGTGGGGTGGGTGGGTGGCAGTGGAGTGGAGAGAAAGCTCCTGGTCTCCCTTTCCCATAAGTTCAGAAGTTGGGGGGGTGTCACCCACTGCAGGTGGGAGATGCAGGCAGAAGACCATGCTTTTTCCTATGGCTGACATTTCATTGGTGGAACTCCCAGCCACAAGATGACAGCTAACCTCAGTGGGGTTTTCAAAAGGCTGCCTATCTCAGTGGTTAAAGAACTGAGCCAGGACTGGAAAAGACTAAGGGTCCCAATACTTGCTCAGTTGTCAAAAGACCTTCTGGTGGGAGTTGTGAGGGCAAAAATGGAAGGAGAAGAATTTGGCCCACTGAAGAGAGGGGGAGGTGGAAAAAACAGAGATCTTTTTAAAGGCACAGTAACAATACTAACCTGAAACCACTGAAAACATTTAAAAAACAGAACCAAGCAGAGTAAATTGCAAGATAGAGAGAGAAAGGCAGGGGGATCCGGATGGTCTGGGGTTCGAAAGCTGGCAATCCGGGCAGATAAACTAATTGAAGCCCACTCCTCTCTGTTCTCCTCCGCAGGGGCCGGTGTTGGCGGTCTGGGCGCTGGTGCAGGTGAGGGCTGTTTTATCTCCTCTGCTCCTCATGGGGGAATGTGATGATCTGTTTCTCTTGTTTGGTGCTTGGGGAAGTTACTTTTTGAGGCTGTCCTGGTTCCCTCTTGGGCAACCGAAGGGGAAACCCACGCACCTGGATTCTCAAGTTTTCTTTGGGGGATGAGTCTTAGACTTGTTAGAGAGAGAGAGACCATTTCTGTCCCTGTCTGTTTCCCATTAAGCACTAGAGTAGGACCCCTGTATCTGTTGAGGATCGGCTCTAAGCCCCCCCCATGCTGAAAAACACAGATTATAGTGAACACCCATCGTAATAGTAAATGCTATACGTAGCATGGTCTCTGGCTCCCTCTAGTGGCCAGTTCTGGTAACGTCACCTTGAGATCTAGATTTCTAGGATTTTTTTCCGGGTCTCCGGCCCCTCACTCGGCAGACGGGGGTTGGACTAGATGGCCTCTAGGGACCCTCTTCCAACTCTACAACTTTGCAATGTTGCTTGTGCTGCCCCAGTGCAGCAGAGGCCTCGCCAAACGCTTCGCCTTTTGAACACAACGTGGGAAGGCTAGATGGTCTCACGGGGTCCCTTCCAGCAGCACGATTCAAGCCATGTGGAGGGTCTCACAGTCCCCTTCCTTCTGCCTTCCCGATATGACTCTTTTCCCCCCAATGCCTGTCATTTGTCCAACATCCTTTGCCTCATCTTGGGGAATCAGAGCGGAGGTCTGCCTGCGTGCATCACCCACCCACCGCCATGCGCGGCCCTCTCTCTCTCCGACTGCCAGGCACCGGACATATGAGATGGGGGGGGTCTCCTCTAGGTGGCATCTCCTTCTCTGTGGTCGGGTGGCCTGCCTTTGACAATTCCCGCCCTTCCAATTCCTTCCGGAGTTGCACTAGATTATAGGTTTTGCAGTCATGCCGTTGAGCAAGCAGTGCTGGTTGGCGTGCCCCTTTAAAATTGCCCTCGTTTGTTGCTGCAGCTGCTTTATGGATTTTAAACCATTTGGTAAGGAAGGGTCATTGTCGCATTTAAAAAAATGTTGGCCACTTGGAACAGGGAATCAAGCCCCCCCGCCTCCCTCCATAAATGGTCCACGACTCAAGGCCCGTCTTAGAAACGGCTTCGGTGGGCTTGGCGGAAGGTTGCCTTCCGAAGGGAGAGATGCCCACAGAGGACGCGGGAGGTTCAGGCTTACAGGCCGGTGCCCGAAGTGCGGCGTTGGGCCCCCTCGAAAGCGGGTGAAGCTCAGCACCCTTTTCCTTCTGTGCCTCAGGTGGCCTCTACACAGGTGGGGCTTTGCCGTTTCCGGAGATCCCCGGAGCCGCCGCCTATAAAGCAGCTGCCAAAGCTGGTGAGTGGATACCAGCGCATTTCCTGCCAGCCTCTGCAGGAAATCCATGGGCTGCCACCAGCCTCATTTCAGCTTCCCTGTGCCTCTTTCTGCCCTGGGTGCACCGGGCCCAGAGCCCTTCGCCTGGATTAAGTCTTCCTGTTTTGCCTTCCCTGCTTCTCGGCTCCCTCCCGTCCAGCCCTGGGAGGGGTCGATTAAGGTCAGGAACAGTCTTAGGAGGGGCAGATAAGAGCTCTGAATCACAAGGTCTATCTGATTCATCAAAAAGACTCAAGCAACCCATCTCATGCTTTCAAGGTTGAATTCCCATTTGCGAGGCGCAGTTGGATTCCCCGCCTGCCGAGGCAGCTTCTCGCTGCTTCTCTGCCTGATGATTCATCAAAAAGACTCAAGCAACCCATCCCATGCTTTCAAGGTTGAATTCCCATTTGCAAGGCGCAGTTGGATTCCCCGCCCGCCGTTGATCTGGCCTTCCCTTCTTGCCACCTCACTCCTTCCGAGTGCCCTGTTTTCCTCTTGGAAAAGGCATGGAATGAAATTAAAAGAGAGAGGAATGTTCTGAGCCCCTGGACTGAGCATACACCATGCTCAGGACGTTTCCTTACTTACACCCCTGTGACCCTGTAAGACTGATCTGGCACCACAGAGCTAAGCAAGGCGGCACAAAATTCACCTTAAATGCAAGGGTGATGACACAGCAGAGACTCACCCAGAGAAGGCACGCACTCCTCAGAAAACGGGCTCTTCTGTTGTTTCAAACTGGAAGATGGCTTACCTTCCCACCTTTCCTCCAAAGGAGGCACCCGGATGGCTCTTACATCCCTGTCATCTGGTTCCCCTTTCTGCTTCCAGGTGCTGGAGTCGGTATACCCGGAGTTGGTGTCGGTGGACTGCCAGGAGGTAAGGCTCTGGACCTTTGTAACGGTTGGATGGACCAATCCAGTGCGCCACAACCATGGCTTGCCTCTTGGTGTCCCGCCTCGCTGGGCCGGTGTGAAGCTGAGTCGGCCTATGGCTTCAGCGTCTCTCACATCCTCCCAGAAAGATTCCCATGGATTGTAGCCCCCTTTCCCCCCGATGCACGGTGTAAGGTCTCAGTTGGACTGCCTTTATGCCAATGAGGAAGAGAGGGGAATGAGAGGCAGACAGAGGTACGCAAGGCCCAGCCCTGGGAGGGGTCGATTAAGGTCAGGAACAGTCTTAGGAGGGGCAGATAAGAGCTCTGAATCACAAGGTCTATCTGATTCATCAAAAAGACTCAAGTAACCCATCTCATGCCTCAGAGGCTCTTTCAAGACATGGTCTGTTGGCTTCCACACCCCCTTAACACGAAGAAACCTTTCCACCTGATTCTGCATCTCTTGCCTCTTCTCTGTTTTCATGGTTGTGCCATCAGATCAGAAACATTTCTGCAGTGCCATCAGAAGAGTTCTGTGTGAATCTGCAGACTGCACTGTCTGGTGTTGTTTTTTTTAAAAACCATTTTCTTTGAATCTTCTCGGGCAATGGTTTGGCCTGTCAACTTCTCTGCTGCCCCCCATGTTTCCCTTCTCCCTTTCTCTCTCTCTTTTATCCCACAGGTGGTGCGATTCCACAGACGGGGGTGCAGCCGGGAGCCGGCATTGGTGCAAAGCCTGGGAAGATACCAGGTGGGTCAACGCTTGCCATTGGTGTGTGTGTGTGTGTGTGTGTGTGTGTGATGTGAAGCCTCCTCTCCCCAAACCTATTGTGTCAACAATCCGTTGTGGTCACAGAGATGGGTGTGTGTGTGTGTGTGTGTGCGTGCGTGACGTGAAGCCTCCTCTCTGCAAACCTGTTGTGTCAACAATCCGTTGTGATGTTCTTTCTCTCCGGCAGGAGTTGGGATCCCAGGGGTCTTCCCCGGAGGTGTGCTCCCTGGCACAGGTAAGTCTAGCTTGGGCTTCTTCTACCCTCCCGTCTTGCCATCTTGCAAAACAACTATCATAACAATCCTGGCCTTTGGTGAATGGCAAAATGTTTCCCATGTTCCACTGGGGTTTTGAGAGACATGACTAAAGACACGCTGTTTGCAGTGCTGTTGACCCCGAAGGTATATGCCTCATCTCTTGGTTTCCTTAGCTGCTCCATTTCTAATTGCAGGGATCCGTTATCCTGGGGTGGGGGTCCTGCCAGGGGTGCCAACAGGAGCTGGAATCAAGCCTAAAGTCGCTGGTAAGCGTTCTCTCCCCATCCATTGCTTAGTTTATTGTTCCCAGCACAGAAAGATTCTTACCATTGACAGCAAATCTAGAATAAGTTGTTTCATGTGGCACAAGATGTGGCTTTGGCAGTTTATAATGCCTTCTCTGGCTGGAAAAGACAGTAAGGCTAGGAAAAGTTGAAGGTGGCAGGAAAAGAGGAAGACCCAATGTGGGATGGATCAACGCAATTAAGGAAGCCACAGGCTTAAGAGTTTGGACTTGACGACCCGTGATGACAAACATCTAAAGTAAGATATCGATCACGACAAAACCAATCCGGTGTGACTCTTGCAGTCTTTCTGATCTACTCCCTCGCACATCATGTCAATGCATCATGTTGCAAGTCACTAGATCTTGCTGTTGCTAATTCTCTCTCTCTGTCTCTTCCTCTCTCTCATTCTCTCTCTCTCTTTTCCCCCCAGGAGCTGGCGGTGGTGCCTTTGCAGGGATACCAGGTACGTTGAACCGTCTCAGAGTCCGGCAAAATGGCATTTCAATGCCACGGCCCTCGGGAAACGTCCACCCAGATGCGGATGGAAAAGGGGAGCCACCCCCACCCACCCCGGGGTGCAGTCCGGTGGGTGGCGCTGGGAGAAGCCCAGAGCCTTCCACCTCCCAGCCCCTTCTCTGTGGCTCTTTCAGGTTTCGGAGGCTTCGGCGGTGGGCAGCAGCCGGGGCTCCCTCTGGGCTACCCCATCAAAGCACCGAAAGTCCCCGGTGAGTCTGAATCCAGAACCTACTGGATCGCTTTGAAGACCAAAACAGTGGAATGAGAAACAAGGAGATCTGGGAGTTTGTCAGGAGATCCCCTTCTTCTGGCCCTGCTGGTGGTGGTGGTGGAGGATTCTGGGCGAAGTCCTTTTCTATAAAAAAAATGGTTCTTGAGTGTGTAAACTGTTCATGTTCTGTTCTTACCTCCCTCTTTCCAGGTACTTATTACGGTCCTGGGAAACAGGCTTTTGGTGAGTCCTTGCTGATAATCTTTGGGGCGCCATACCTTCTGTGGGGCAGCCACAGTGGCCGCGGAGCCTGGGGAGGGGGAGAGATCACTTGACGGAAAGGGTCCCGAGTTCAACTCTAGACACTCAAGAGCGGGCAGGCTTTCCAGGATGCGAGCTGGTTGGGGTCAACCGTCTCTTGACATCCTTGCAATGTTTCTTCCCAAGAAGGACCTCACAAAAAAATCCCATTGGGGCCCCATAGAAGTGGGCTTTCTCACACCTTCTCTCCCTTCCTCACCCGGCTTCAGGGGCTGGACCTGGCGGGGTGTACGGTGGAATCGGAGGAAAAGCCGGATTCCCAACTGGCACAGGTGAGCGGGCGAGTCAAACCAGGGTGCCCGTTTTCAAAAACGTGAACTCTCAGTAGAAATGTAATTGAGATATTTTTTAAAAAACAACCATTTGAACTGTGTTTTAAGGCTATAACTGATTTAATGTGGCTGTTTTTTTTTAATATTTGTAATTTAGCCTAGCCTCAGCGATGCTGCTTTTAGCTACTTTAGGGGAACAAAGCAGCGTCTAAATACAGTAAAATAAGTGGAGGTGCTCTCCCCGTCTGCTTGAGTATGGCCATCTGAGGTGCTCAGAAAATATTGGGTCAGGTAGGGTCCCGGGGGGGGTCTCAAAGATCAAAGGAATGGTTCCCCTTTACGATACCAGTTTAGGGGTCCTAACAAAGCAGCGTCTAAATACAGTAAAATAGGTGGAGGCGCTCTCCCCATCTGCTTGAGTTTGGTCATCGGAGGTGCTCAGAAAATATTGGGTCAAGTAGGGTCCTGGAGGGGGGGGTCTCAAAGATCAAAGGAACGGTTCCCCTTTACCACACCAGTTTAGGGGTCCTTAATGGGAGAGCTGGTTCTGGTGAGCCAGAATTGAGCAGAAAGAGAAAGAGAGAGAGAGGAAAGATGAGTACCATAGGCTTTCCAGCCACCGCACTCTTCCACTGAGGCGTGTCTTGTTTATTCCGTGGCTCTATGGCTTGGAAACGGGGATGAGCACCGCCCCCCCTAGAGTCGAACACGACTGGACAAAAATTGTCAAGGGGAACCTTTACCTTTTAATGGGAGAGCTGGTTCTGGTGAGCCAGAATTGAGCAGAAAGAGAGACAGAGGAAAGATGAGTGCCATAGGCTTTCCGCACTCTTCCACTGAGGCGTATCTTGTTTACTCCAAGAAAGAGAGAGAGAGGAAAGATGAGTACCATAGGCTTTCCAGCCACCGCACTCTTCCACTGAGGCGTGTCTTGTTTATTCCGCAGGCGTAGGAGCGCAAGCAGCCGCGGCTAAGGCGGCCGCAAAATACGGTGAGTACCAGCCAAAGTCGCCACGAGGCGTGGGAGGGACTCTTCAGAAGCCAGCCGTGGCTTCTCCAGCGGAGACCACGAGCTTAGATGGCCCAGAGCAGCTGGTGGCTCCTTTGCAACGACGCTGAACTCAAACCGCTTGCAGGCTAGCGATTCCCCCGAAATTGCTCTGGGCAGTCTCTTCCGCGCCGGTGACGCTTTGTCTCATGCGCTCCGGCAGAGGCAACGTAGATGGGGCAGAACTCGGTTGAGTCGTTGGCTTCCCTGTCACCTTTTATGGCTCTTCTGCTGGCAGGTCCCATCCGGCAGGCAGATCTGTCAGCCGGCTGAGACAAGCTGGCAAGCAGTAATGTATTTCTGCCAGAACAAGGTGATGTCCATGGTTTAAAAAAAGGTGCCCACCTGTAGGGTTGTGTATCTAAAGTGCTCTTTGGCCCAACTGCTTCCTGTGGGATTTCCTGCCTTTTTCCCACCCTTCTCTCTCTCCCGGGATTTCTCAGCCACAAAGATGTCCTCCATTCCCCTCCTCCTGAAATTCTACACAGAATTCCTTAGATCCTGTGCGGGAATCAGGGCCACCCTCCGCAGGTTTCCACACAGCCAGAGGATGGGTGTTTGATTTCCCCCCACCATGCCTCTCCATAGAGGAGAGCCAGCCTGGGTGGCCTTGGGCAAGCTGCACAGTCCCAAGGCACACACATACGCTCAGAGCTAGAAGAAGGGAATGGTCGACCACTTCTGAGTCTTCTCTCTCTGGGAAACCCTGGAAAAGGATCTCTAGAAGTCAGAAAAGTTCCCCCGTGTGACTCAGCAAGGGAAAGGGGGAAAAAAAAAACACAGCGAGCCATGAAATATGGCCTGGTTTCCCACTAAGGACTCCTCCAGACTTCCTTGGATAGCTTGTCGGGGTTTCTGCTGGCCGTATTTGCCTTCTCTCCAGCAGGAAATGCAAGCAGGGCTCAGCGTCTGGTCTTCCCATCAGGCTGTTGAGCACTGTTGAGTTCCCCTCCTGCTCGTGGGGTTGGAGCAGAGCCAAGACTCAACAAGGGCAAAAACGCTTGCCAGGGGTTTTCCTCCCCGGATAGCTCGGCGATGAGGAATCTTTGAAGGTCCGGGGAAAACTAGACTCTCTGCAGTCCTGGCTGTCGGCCACGCCGGCTTGAGCCGATTGGCCTTAGGAGCCGAAATCCCTGAGCTCTGTTCTGCAGCCAACGATGGCAAGCTTGTCTCTGCTTCCCTCTCCCCCCAGGTGCTGGCCTTGTCCCCGGGGCAGGGGGAATCCCAGGAGTTGGGTCGCTCGGAACAGGCTTAGTACCGGGCGTCGGTGGCGTTCCCGGTGCAATCGGTAAGGCCCTGCGCACGGATGAGTCGCTTTGCCGGGTCGCTCCCTCGGAAATGGGAAGCTTGGGGTGCATGATGCTTTTTAATTAGCACCATCCAAAAAAAAAGGTGCAAGCTTCTGGATTCCACAGAATTCCTCATCCCCAAAAATTAAAAAAAAAACTGGTAGGGGAGGAGGAGGAGTTTAAAAAATTCCCCACATCAGACCAGAAATAAGGTGGAAGTCCTTTTAAGAGCAGCCTCTTTGTTGCAAATCTGTTCGGGTCTGGCTTCTAAAACATGGGGGTACCTTTTTTTGGCTACAGGCGCAGGCGGGCCGGCGGCAGCTGCGGCGGCAGCAAAGGCAGCAGCGAAAGCCGCTGCATACGGTAAGGTTTCTTCAGTTCCTCTGATCTTCTCCAAGTCTTTATGGGAGACATACAGTAAGCGACCAAGAAATATATGAAATTCTGGGAAGGAAGGCATTCAAACAACTTTGCAGCCGTGAACCACCTTTGTGGCCGACCGGGGTCTTCACAAAATCACACTCCAGAAGGAATGAAACGAGTAGGAAATTTAGTTTGCTGGTACAAGGAGCCATGCGTTCCGGTCACTTTACCGAGTGACGTTTTACGTAATGACCTTCAAGGCATTTTTGGGAAATCCGGCAGGATTAGGTTTCATGCTGGACGCGGCATCTCTGATGAGTCTGAAGGCCGCTTGGCCCCAAGACGGGCAACGAAAAAGGAACAGAGAAGGCAAAGTTACACCAAGTTACTTTGGGAAGCGCTGCTACCTAACTAGCAGGCTGAGTCACGAATGATGATTTCCAGGTTTGCGACATCTTGGGGGTGGTGGTGGAGAGAGACGGCATCCGGGCGAGGGGCAAGATAACAGGAGCAAGGATGAGTCTTAGCACCAGCATATACACACCCCTTCCCACGGCAGCTGATGGCTGGCGAGGGGATGCTGCCAGTAGGGGTGATGCTGGCAGCCGTGTCCGTTTCTCCTGAGGTTCTGGTCGCAGCCTGCCCGCCATCTGCTTTTGATAGGAAACAGACTGGCAGAGAGGGAAGTGGCGCTATTCGAGGGTTTTTTGGAACAGCCGCAGAAGAATCGGGTTTCGTTGGGGTGGGTGTGCGTGCAGGCGAGGGAGAGAAAAATGAATCGGAGATCACAGGAGGCAGCGATGCTTTCCTTGGGGTTTGAAGTTTCTGTAGCCAGTCGGCAACTTGGAACAAATTGCAACACACACACACACACACACACGAGCTAAAGCGACCTTCCTGTGGTGCCCCCTTCCCTTCCCGTGGCTTGGGGACCCCCGAGTGGGGAGTGAAAGAGGGTGGGCCAAACGCCCGGTGGCTTTGAGGAGGCCTGGAAATCAAACCAGCCAGCCAAGATGCAAAGCCCTGCAGCCGAATCCCAAAGCCCCTTGGATGGAGGCCTTCTGGATATGCTCAGAGGCCGTGTTGGAAAGCCCCAGGCTGGGGGTGTTGGGTGTCTTTGTTGCCACTTTTGAACATGGGTGTAAAACTGGACGCTGGCGGCAAAATGCTGAAGCGTATCGCTGTGTTCCAGAGGGGGGGGCGTCCCTGGTTCCTTTGGCCTACGGGTCGTATTAACACCCGTTTCGCACATTCCTAGGGGGGTCCTGCAAGAGAGAGCCAGCCTGGGTAGCCTTGGGCAAGCGGCACCATCCCATGGCGCCCCCTAGAGGGAGGGGCTGCTAAGCGACTTCCGAGTCCTTTATGAAAAGCCTGAAGTGGCACCGTCCCAGGGCGCCCCCTAGAGGAAGGGGCTGCTAAGCGACTTCTGAGTCCTTTATGAAAAGCCTGGGGAAAATGCTGCCGTAAATCAGAATTGACTTGACGGACGCATGGCTATGTATTAAACTAGGGAGTGATCCCTAGATTTCGCAAGCCGCCATCTGGCTAAGAAAGGCTGGCTGTCGATCCACTCATGGCTGACCCCTCAAGTGGGAATAAAGGGTCCCATCCATGAAATCCATCTGCGTTGTCGCCAAAGGACAGGCTAATTCCTATGGCCCCTGTTAAGCCCGTTCCCAGGCTTAGCGATCGGCTTGCATGGATTTACCGGAAAACACTTTAAAATTCCTTTAAAAACAATACAAAACTTAAGATTTATTATATCTCACACAAAATTCTTCTCCTTCATCTCCTGTGGGAGTTTGGATATGATCTTGCCCTATTTGGACTCTGGGCAAAATCCTGTTGGCGTAACTTTGCGTTCGTGTAACCATAGAACCCAGATCAGGAGCCAGATACATTTAATTAAAACTAATTAAAGCTTCCTGGTCACCCCCTTCATGTTCCAAGGCTCTCTAAAGATATGGAGGCTCGAGAGGGAGCCTTTAATAATTATTAATTCAAACAATCAATCAATAATCACCACAAGATCCCAGCTATGGGGAAATCTAGATATTATTTTTCCTATTGATTTTTCTGTTTTGAGTTCTTCCTTACCGCTCAGGGGGAACCAGAAGTCTAGGCCTTGCAAAAGGTATTGTTGCTTCTTACCTCTAGGGCCCAACAGGGAGTTGGACGGGAGCCCAAGATGTAGTTCGGCTTCCCTCTAGTGGTCAACTCTGGGTACAACACGTGGGGGAAAAAACCCTTACTTTAATCCTTGTTTATAAACGGTTTAAATTTATTTTAGCCAAAACCCAAAGGGGGTTGGGGAGAACATAATAATCATAAAATTCGACTGTATTTCGCTCGATCTGTCTGAAGAAGTGGACTTGTTCGCAAAAGCTCGCCTTAAAATATAACAGTTTTTTAAGTGCCATAACTTAAAAAAAATAATAATTATGGACAGATTGAACTCAAAAGCTCGCCTTAAAATATAACAGTTTTTTAAGTGCCATAACTTAAAAAAAATGAAAAAAAATTATGGACAGATTGAACGATAAACAAATTTGGATTTCCCCCTGCACTGCCACGAACATCCGTGCCTAGGGTGATGACTTGAGGGATCCCTGAAAGTTCACATGGGAACAGACATGCCTTCAGCCCCTGTGATGCCAGCCCCGAAACATACATTTCTCATCCCAGAGGCTCAGTCCTTGGGACGGATGGGATGCCCGCTTGCCCAATGCCAGCTTCACCCACTGTTCTGCTTTAGGGGCTAATCCTTCTGTCTTCCTCTCTTTCGGCAGGTGCTGGGGCCCTTCCTGGGGCTGGTTTGGGTGGCCTCGGCGTCCCAGGTGGCGCTGGGGTGCCTGGGATCGGCGGACTCCCCGGCGTGGCCCCTGGTTTGGGAGCGGGAGGTAAGTGGGGCCGATGGCTTGATGGGGTGTGTAGTTGGGGGAGGATCAGGAAGATGGGGCATGAAGGCTCCTTGGCTATACCTGGAACCATCAAACCAAAAAAGAAGCCAAACTGTATCCTCTTCCAGTTTCATCCTCACTCCCTTCAGCTCAAAGCAGTGTGGCTCCCTATCAGCAAGGAAGCAGACACACACAGCAGGTCTTTTGCAAAGCTAATGGAAGCAGTGTGGCTCCCTATCAGCAAGGAAGCGACATCCACCTGCGCCGGCAGCGGGTCTTTTGCAAAGCTAATGGGATGGCATGACCCAATCAGGACCGAAACCCTGACCCTAAAACATTCATTGCATCAGGAAACACCCCCCCCAACCACAATTGTTTTGCTAGGAAAATCTCCACGCATCGACACTGAGAATTTCCGCTACACTCAAAAGGACGTTGGGAGGCAGGGGGAAAGGATTAGGGGGGGAGTCTGGCCGTTGAGAGCCCCCTCCCTTCCGCTCTGCTCCTGTTAACCTCTCTTGTTTGCATCTGTGCCAGGACTGAGTCCAGCCGCAGCCGCAGCAGCAAAAGCAGCCAAATATGGTAAGTCCCGGAGTCGCTGTTCGATCGGAGGGCAGGGGGAAACAATATGTGGTCCTCATCCTTGGGAAGCCCAAGGCATGCTCTGCAAGGATCTCTTCCTGTAATTGGAGAGATGAGCTGCTGGAAGTCCAGGATAAGAAGATTTAACCACAGCCCAAAGAAACGCCTCCCCCGTCTGACACGTGCTCCTTTCCCTTTCGGGCCCTGTACCCAGCCGCGGCCTCTGAACCCCTTTCCCCATTTTGTAGGAATCAAGCCAGAATCCATGAGATCATGCTGGCCAAGCTCCTGTTGGAGATTTCTAAGGGTGAATGGGTAAAGATGCCCAAAAATAAATAAATAATATTAAAAAACAACACACACACACAAGCTTGCTGCTCACATTCCCAGCCATGCACCAAGTTGTGCGGTTGGCACTAAACCAGGAATGAAGGAGAGAACTGATCCTGTGGCTGCAGTTCATGGAATTAGATTTGCAACATTTTAATCCCCAACAGGCTTCTATCCAGTTCTGTATCATAGTTTATTTTTCCAGTGAGGGCTCCAGAATCCCATTGTGATTCCACCTTGGGCCTTCTTCTTTGGCTTTAGAGGATCTATCCAGGGTCCTGAAATATGTGTGCTCTCCCCTCACACCCTCAAGTCAGTTCAGCACCTTGGAGAGATCCTACAAAGGGGATACTAAAACCAGGCCTGGATTCACAGCCCCTCCGGAATGGGATGGCTCAGCTCATGTTGGATTCTGCCCATCGGATGCCAGGATCGCAACATCAGCTGGCATTCCAGAGACTCCATCCTTGGGACAGATGGGATGCCCTCTAGCCCAATGCCCTCTTCACCTGCTGTTCTCCTTTAGGGGCTGATCCTTCTCTCTTTCTATTTTTCAGCCGGTGCTGGGGCCCTTCCCGGGGCTGGTGTTGGTGGCGTCGGCGTCCCGGGTGGCATTGGGGTGCCCGGGGTCGGTGGACTTCCTGGCTTGAGACCTGGTGTAGGAGTGAGCCCAGGAGTGGGAGGTAAGCAGGTGGATGGTTTGGCGAGTTGGATGGTTGGGGGGGGGGAGTTAGAAGAGGAAGATTCCCTTGGTGTCCTTGAAGCCATCAGACGGAATGAAGGGCCCTCTCACTTGCAAGGTGGCTCCTTCCAAATCAAAGCTAAGGTTGTCCGCTAACGAAAGCCAACTCTTATGACATCCTCCTCCAATCCCCCAGTCAATGGTATGTAGGGGATTCTGGGATTTGTAGTCCAAAAGGAAACCTTTCCACAAAACGCCTCTCTCTCTCTCATTGTGGACATGGAATGGAGCACCAGACCATCATGTGAGAAGGACCATCAGATTGAACTGGCCTGATTGGTTTGGGAGTGGAAAGAGGGGGTACCCTTCTCTTGGATCGGGGGGTGTTCAGGAAATGATCATGAGAAGAATGATCTTAGAATGGCAAAGCTGGAAGGAACCCTATGGGTCATTGAGTTGAGCCCCTCTCAAGGAGGCCCAGGGGGGGAATTGAACTCCCAGCCTCTTGTCTCTCTATACAGAGACCTAAACCCCTCAGCTGTCCAGATACGGGACCGTCAAGCAATCATCCAGACCATTTGAGGTCATGGGCTTGACCTCAGATTACAGGGTCATGGAAGATGGCCCTCATTCTGCTGGTCCCCATTCCATGGTTGCCCAGAGTCGGAAAATGCATCCATCAGGGTCACTAAGGAAGCTATCGCATCTTCCAGCTGCCACGGGAGCAGGTCTTTTGCAAAGCTAATGGGATACCATTTCATAACCCCAAGCAGGTCCCCCCACACCCCTTAAAGCTTTGATGGCAACCGTGAATCCTCACAACAGGACTTTCGCGCCCCTGCCCAAAAATCACCCCTTTACTCCTGCGACAATTGCGGCTAAGCTCAAAGGAAGCCTTTGGGGTGGAGTGGGTGGGATCCTGAAAGTCATTAAGCGTCCCGAGATGAAGGCGCTCCTGGTTCAACTTCCCAAGTCTTCTCTTGTGTTTGTGTCAGGTTTGAGTCCGGCGGCGGCGGCAGCAAAAGCAGCGAAATACGGTAAGGCTGGAGGGGGGTGTCGCTCGGTGGCCGGAGGGTGGCAGAAAAATACGTTGCATCTGGGTAGAGATGGGCTGCATAGACTTAGACCCCAGGCTTGGTACAGCTGCTTTTTCAAAGTTCTAGTCCTCTTAAAAGCAGAGCTACATTTGGGAACTGGAGGTGTCCAGGGAGCAGCTAGAAGGAGATCGCTGTGCGCAGGATGAAAGGGTACAGCCCCATGCGGATGGACAGGAGGCACCGAGAGGTCCTCGCTTTGGGTTTCTTCTCGATGACCCATCAGCAAATCCTGATCCACCGCACACAGCCCGCGAAATGCTCCATGTTGCATGAAACCATCACGTTCCCATTGGAGGTTCCCAGAATTTGGGATCCGGCACCATGCCCGCTCTTTCCATGCCCCCTTACCCCTGCCCGGATCTATTTCAATTATTATATTTCATTTGTTTCTTTAAAATATTTATGCCCTGCCATCCTCCCCAAAATCATCCAGGCGGGCAGTACAAAGAGAAGACATGACAGGGCGTAGGTCAGAATGCTGCTGAGGATTTACTCCTGCATAGGTGTCCCTGCGAGGTTTGGTTGGCAAACACATGGTACAGCTAGGACAAGGCTAGTGTGCTTCGTAATTATTATATTTCATTTGTTTCTTTAAAATATTTATGCCCTGCCATCCTCCCCAAAATCATCCAGGCGGGCAGTACAAAGAGAAGACATGACAGGGCGTAGGTCAGAATGCTGCTGAGGATTTACTCCTGCATAGGTGTCCCTGCGAGGTTTGGTTGGCAAACACATGGTACAGCTAGGACAAGGCTAGTGTGCTTCGTTTGCGGAAATTCGTTTGTGTAAAATCCCAGTCGGATTCTGGCTGCTGTTGTTTAACAATTTATTCTGGTTCTACTGGTGGAAGGGGCTGAGTCCCATTCTGGAGGTCCAGTGGATCTCCTCTGGCATTTCAGGATCTGTCCAAGGTCCTGCAATGTGCCCCCCTTGACTCAGTTCAGCACCTTGGACAGATCCTTCAGCCTAAAACCAGGCCCGGATTCGTAGCCCCTCTGGAATGGGATGGCTCAGCCCATGCTGGGTTCTGCCCGTCCGATACCAAAACTGGGACTTACATCCCAAAGCCTCAATGCTCAGAGTGGCGTAGGGCACCTGCTGTTCTCCTTTAGGGCCTGATCCTTCTGCTTTCCTCTCTTTCGGCAGGTGCTGGGGCTGTTCCGGGGGCTGGCCTGGGTGGCGTCGGCGTCCCAGGCGGTGTAGGGATCCCTGGGGTTGGTGGACTTCCTGGCGTGGCCCCTGGTTTGGGAGTGGCCCCAGGAGTGGGAGGTAAGCTGTTTGGTGGCTTGACCTGATCTGGTTATCAGTTTTGCAGGCGTTAATATGACCCGTCCCGATGGCTCAGTCGCCCATGTAAAGCCTCAAAGCATCCGCGTGGTTCCCTTATCACTGCGGAAGCTTGAGCAGTTTCCACCACTCTCCAGAGCAGGTCTTTTGCAAAGCTAATAGGGAATCATTGCACAATCCAATCCAAACCGACCCCACCCCAGAAATTTTCCATGGCCACAGGGAATGCTCTCAAGAAGAGTCTCTTACTGAGAAACACCCCCCAACACACACATACTCCCAGTTCCTGCAAGGGTTATACCTAAACTCAAAAAAGAAGTTGCAGTGGACGGAGGGTTGATATAGGTAGCAGCTTTTGGTGATCAAGATGCCCCCGTTTCCTCTACAGTGGGGTCTCAACTTACGAACGGCTCGACATACGAACGTTTCGACTTACGAACCGCTCTCATAGGAATATATGGACTCGACTTACGAACTTAGATTCGAGTTACGAACTCTTTTTTTTCCCTTTTTTTAAAAGCTAAGTCATCTTAGGTTAAAAGGAAAAAAGAAAAAATATCCCCCTCTAGTGGCAGAAGGCAGAATAGCAGCTTCCCATTAGTTTCTGTGGACGGAAAAGAGCAGATACGGATTAAATGGTTTTCAGTGCATTCCTATGGGAAATGCAGATTCGACTTAAGAACTTTTCTACCTGAGAACTGCCTTCCAATACGGATTAAGTTCGTAAGTCGAGACCCCACTGTATTCCCTAATTTTTCTCTTCTTTCCATCAGGAGTGAGTCCGGCGGCAGCAGCAGCAGCAGCTGCAAAAGCAGCTAAATATGGTGAGCTTCAATGTTTGTTTCGCCCACTGAGAGCACAGCATCACGCGGTCTTCCAGGTTCAAGGATCAGATCAGCACCGGCTTTAAATTCCTGTTGCTGTTAAACGCCCTCAGGTCCCTCTGACCGACGGCAACCCCATGAATGAGGAGCCTCCAAAAGGCCCCGTCCTTCACCGCCCTGCTCGGCTCAAGCCTGTGGTTTCTTTTAGGGGGCCGGTCCATCTCGTATTGGAGTCTTCCTCTTTTCCTGCTACCTTCGAACCCCATGAATGAGGAGCCTCCAAAAGGCCTTGTTCTCCACCGCCCTGCTCTGCGGTGGGGGTCGGTCCATCTCATATTGGAGTCTTCCTCTTTTCCTGCTGCCTTCGGCTTTTCCCAGCATTATTGCCTCTTGTAGGGAATCCTGACTTCTCGGCATGTGCCCAACGGAGGATGTAGGGAATCCTGACTTCTCGGCATGTGCCCGAAGGAGGATGGGCTCAGCGTCAACCTCTTTGCCTCCAGAGATAGTTCATGCTTGATTTGCACCTGTGTGGCTGGGCAGACGTTGGAAGGAGAATGGGTGGCTCGATCCGTGGGAGGGAGGGGACACTCGCTTAACCCAAAGCCCTCCTCCCCTGCTCTCCTTGTGTGTAGAGGCTGATCCTTTTGCTTTCCTCTCTTTCTGCAGGCGCTGGGGCCCTTCCTGGGGCTGGCCTGGGTGGCGTCGGCGTCCCCGGCGGGGGAGGGATCCCGGGG